CTCCTTACCTGAGGAGGTTGTGAAGGCTAGGACTATAACAGCGTTTAAAAGAGAACTGGATAAATTCATGGTGGTTAAGTCCATTAATGGCTATTAACCAGGATGGGTAAGGAATGGTGTCCCTAGCCTCTGTTTGTCAGAGGATGGAGATGGATGGCAGGAGAGAGATCACTTGATCACTGCCTGTTAGGTCCACTCCCTCTGGGGCACCTGGCATTGGCCACTGTCGGTAGACAGGATACTGGGCTAGATGGACCTTTGGTCTGACCCGGTACGGCTGTTCTTATGTTCACACACACACAGCCCCTACACACACACACACAGCACCCCCCCAACAAAGTCCCTAAACATCGCTACACACACACACACACACACACACACACACACAGCCCCTACACACACACACACACACACAAAGTCCTTAAACATCGCTACACACAGACACACACACACACACACACACACACAGGCAGCCCCCCCCACAAAATGCACTTACACATCATTATACACACACACACACACACACACAAAGCCCCTACACATTGCTACACACATTCACACACACACCATGCCCCTACACACACACACACACACACACACACACACACAAAATGCATCTACACATTCCTACACACACACAGTCCTTAAACATCGCTACACCCCCCCCCAAACCCAGGCCTCCCCCCACAGACCCCCCCCCCCACAACTCCAACACCCTCAGCCTGCGTGGGCTGGTCCTGGTGCTCCGGGCCCTGCTCCCCCCTGCCAGCTGCCGGCCACGTCTGACTCCTGTGCTTTGCACTGGTGGCTCCTTCCCTCCCGTGGCGGCCGAGGGCCCACCCTAGCCCTGTCCCAGCCTGTGCAGGGACGCCAGCCGCCCGAACCCCTGTGTCCCCAGCCTCTGGGCAGGGCTCTGTGCTACCCAGGGAGCAAAAGCAGCACCCGACATGGGCTCGGCCTTTTGCCAGTCTGAGGTCATGGGGATGAAAGGAACACCCGGCCCGCGGCTGTCTGCAGAGCGCCCCAGGGGGCGGGGGGCTCCCCTCGGGGCACACGGGGAGGTGACGGGGAAGAGCAGGGGGACATGCCCAGGGGCAGAGAGAGGCTGTGCCCTGGGGACAGCAGGGACTGGGTGGGCACAGGGCTTGGGGTGCAGGGAGGGACCCAGTCGCTCATGAGAGCCACCACTGGGCCCAGCGGAGCACCCCTGGCCAGGGGTAGCCACGGAGCACTGGAGACACTGCCCACTGAGCGCCACGCGTGGTCCTGTGCAGGCCTCTGGGCAGAGCGGCCTAGTCACCCCGCTGATCACAGGGCACAGGACCTTCCCCTGCAGTGCCCTGCCCCCCACAGTGCCCTCCTCATTCTCCCACCCCACAGTGTCCCCCAGCCATGCTGTGCCCTCCCCACCCCACGTACCCTTCCCAGCCCCAGCCCCCCCCACTGTGCCCCCCAAGCCCCCTGCACTCACTTGCTGTCCAGAAGGTCCATGATGGGCTGAAGGACGTTGTCGGCGTCCTGAGCGACGCTGCTGCAGGCGCTGGCGGGGACGTTCCCGGTGCCCTTCACCTGGCTCAGGATGTCGCCCATCTGCTTCACGCAGTCCTCAATGTGCGGTTGGAAACTGGGCGCCACAGGGCGCAGGCGGCTCCGTGAGCAGGGCGGGGAGCCCCTCGCCAGGAACACCCTGCTCCAGCGCCTCCCTCCCACCCCATTCCCCGGCCCTCTCCACAGCCACAGGCTCCAGGGACCCCCAGCCCTCAGGCTCCCCCCCACTCCTGCAGCCCCAAACCCAACCGTGACCCTCGGGGCTCAGCCCCAGAATCACCACACACGGAGCCTCCTTCCGAACAGGAGCAGAACCTGAGCCTGTGCTTTGTACCCAAAGATTTATACCCCTCCCGCCAGGCCCTCTCCCCGGCAGCCCCCGGTCCCCTCTGCCCAGCGTACCTGGTGGCAAAAACTCTGCTGAGCTCATCCAGGACGTTGTTGAGTTTCACCTGCAGCTCCTTCAGGATGTCGCTGGCCTCGGCGTCCAGCTGCAAGGGGGGACGTGCCTGGTTAACAGACGGACTGCCCCTCTGCGGGCAGCGTGTGACACTCGGGGGCTGCGCAGGCCACGGGAGCCCATGGTCCCCAGAATACTCCCAGAATGCACTGGGCAGCAAGGACCGAGTCCGGCTCGGGTGGAAGCTGGCGCGAAAGCCGGGCGAGGACAGAAGCTGGCCATGGATTGCTGGCGGTGTGTTGGGTCGCTCACAGCACGGCAAGACGGTACTCCTGCCCAGGGGCCAGGAGACGGGGGCCACTGCATTGCCATGACCTGGGGGCCAGCGGCACCCCGCTGGGGGTGGGGGATCCCACCAGACTGGGACGTACCACTGCGGAGCCTCACTATGGGGCCTTTAAACTTCGGGGCATACCCCCTCCAGGGGCCCAGCCGCAGGAGAGAGCAGGGCGTCCCGGTACAAACCTCCTTCCCCCCCATGGCTTCAAACATCTTCTCCAACTGGACACGGAGCTGCTGGATGTTGTTCATCAGGATACAGGGCTAGAGGGGGACCAGACGGAGAGGTGGTTAGTGGGGGACGCTTACACCCTACTGGCTGCGATCACAGCAGTGGGGAACACAGCAACGGCCAGACCTGCTCAGACCCAAGGCCCAGCTCCCCGGGTCCTGTCTCTGATAGTGGCCAGCAGGCATGGTGGGGTAGGCTGCCCCACATCTGATCTCCGGGTCTCTAGTAGTTAGAGCCTGGCTGAAGCCCTGAAGATTCATCATCCACCCCCCAGCCAACACTTGGGCTAGCGTTAACTATGAACCCTCGGGCCCGTGTCTGCATGCCTGAGCCCGGGTGATCTCACTGCCCAGGCGGGTGGGGACCTGCCCCGGCTCCTTAGCTCACGTTAGAGATGCGGGGTAGAGAGGTCACTGCTCGGCTGCCCCCCCGAGGGATCTATAGCCACATTAGCCACCTGGCTAAGTGGCCATATGCCAGAGACACTGAGCCCCCTCAGTGCTCATTGATTTCACTGGGGGTTGGCGTGCTCAGCACCTGGAGACCTCGCTGCAGGATTTAGGGGCCCAGCAGAAGGCCTCCAAACTTCGGAGCAAGAGCTGGAGTCGGCCGCAGAGCAGGGGGCAGATGGGGATCTCCCAATTCCCAGCGCTGTTGGGGGGCATGGCTCGGGAATCCTGTCCCAGGGGGGTGAGGAGGTGGAGCGGTCAGCGTGGGAGCGTTTTCCAGAAGAGGTTTCTCAGCCCATGTGACTTGATGGGAGGGAGGAGGGGAGGGGCTCCGGCCTGAGCCAGCAGCTCCATCTCCAGTCACAGGAGCCCCCAAACTCCGCATCCCACCTTCATCCAGCTCCCCAGCTGCACTGGCTCGCCTTGTGACACACCCAGGAGAGGCCCGGTGCTCCCCGGTCATGAGAGCAAGGCACCCAGGGCTGGATCTCCCAGCTCTCTGGCCCTGCATGGAAACCCCAGGGGCTCGCTGGCCGGGGGGCAGGGTCACTGTTCCACCCATTGGTCTAGCCAACAGCCTGACATTTTAGACACTGGGCCAAATCCCCCCCGTGCAGGACTCTAGCGAAGCCGATGGAGTTACGCCACGGGGTGAATTTGGCCTGCTGGTGCGAGGATGCGAACTCCCCTAGAGTGTGCAGGTGGGATCGAGCTACCACCCAGCTGGCCTGACAGCGGTCCCTTCAAAGCCCCAGAGCCCGCTCTGAGCTGGGGGCGGGTCTGCCAGTTCCATCCGAGTCCATGGAGTGACTCCAGAGTCACCCTGGTACGGCAGAGCACTCTGACCCCCAGGGTCTGACTCCACTCTCATTTACCCCAGCTTTACATCACGGAACTCAATGGACTCCTGCTTTACACCAGTGCCAGTAGGAGAAATGGCCCCCCACATATCTAGAGACCTCTTTGCGGGATTAAAGGGAGCGTGTCTCATGGGTGAGGAATGGGGCTGCCCCGCGACGCCTTTGTACGCCCGTGCATGGGCATGAAACGTGACTTGTGGGGGGGTTGGATGGGTGGGTAAGCATGCGTCAGTGTGTACCGTGGGCCTGGCTGTGCCCACCCAGCAGCTGGGGCAGATCCAGAACTCCCCAGACTCTGGCGGGGTTTGGATAGGATGGGCTTTGGTTCTGCCCACTGGAGAGACAGGCTGCCAAGTTCAGAACCCCATGTGGATCCAAAGTGTCCCAGGGATTCGGAGCCAGCCTGGCAGAATCACTCCTGGGAACGGGTGCCCCAGAGCATCCTGCAAATAGCAGAGACGGGGCCTTTCAAGGCAGCTACCAGAGAACAGAGAGGAGAGGGAGGGTGCAGAGGAGACGGGCGCTAATTGCTTCCGGGGGGTCTGGTGGCATCGGTGGCATGGCGACACCGCGGCAGAGAGTGGCCCCGCCAATCGGAAGGCAAGAGAGCAAGGGAGGAGGAGGGGATACGTCACCACTTTCTCCTTCTCCTTGGAGCAGTACAAAGCGAAATCCTTGGAGATGATCTCGGCGTACTGCAGCAGCACGTTGCTGATGGTCTGCAGGCAGGAGAGGCCAGGCCGGGCCGGGGGCAGAACAGAGCGAGCGAGCGGGGAGAGCCGGAAGCGGCAAAGGAAGGCAAGGCAAGAGAAAAGGAAAGGAACGAGACTGTGAAATCCAGATTTGGTCTGAAATAAACTGCCTGAGGATCGCTCTGGGCCGACGAAGCTGCAAACTGAACTCCAGGGAACAAAACGGCCCCTGTTGTGTGTCAGTGCTGTGCATAGGTGTGACTGTCGGGGTGGGGGGCATGTCAATGGGGATGCTGCCACCCCCCCCCCCCCATTCCCACTCTTGGCACCCCACAACTTTCTGTTATACAAAACCTGAATTAACCCCATAAAATCCCATTCCCTGCCCCCACACTGCCCAGGAGGAGGCGCTGGAGATAGGTGTGGGCAGGAGGCACGTCCTAGAGCTGCCGTTCCTCCCCAGCACCAGCGCTTCAGGTTTCCATGGCTGGCACATGGCACACGGAGGGGCCCTGGGACAGGAGCACATTGCACAGCTCTTTGGTCCAGCTGGGGCGAGGCGATGTGCTGACATGGGGCGGGCGACGCAGCGCTCCGCTCCCTTCCAGGCTGGTGTCACTCCGTGGAAGTCAGTGGAGTGACCCCGATTTACCCACTGTGAGTCCCAGGAGTCTCAAGCCTGCAGCGTTTAATTCATCCAGGAGCTAGCGAGCCCGGGGTAACCGCAGGGTTTGCCTGGGTCCAGCAGCCTCAACAAAGAATCCCCTTTAGTTACAATACAGCCCGGTCCTACGCCTTCTCCACCCTCAGGGGCACTGCAGACCCAGGTGCACGGCTCTGGTACTGGCATGTCGGCGCCCGGCCGATTGAACGGGTGCAGATGCTGCTCCAGCTGAGGCCTGGCTCTGTTTAAGCTGGGACCATTGGCATTCCGGGGTGGGGATCACAGCAGTGTAAACACAAGGTTGGACCCAGCGTGTCCCCTGGCCCCTCCTTACCTTGGCAAACCTCCGCATGTAGTGCCCGACGATCTGCGGGTCGGGGCACTCCAGCTTCTTGATGATCTCAAAGCTCTGGTTCAGCTGGGAGAAGACATCCACCACGGAGCAGGAGAAGAGAGCGTGCTCAGAGGTTTGCTGGAACTGGGGCAGGAGACAGGGGGGAGCAGAGCATAGGAAAGAACAGGTTATTTTCTGGGCTCAGAGCTAGAGCCCAGGGCCTGGGTGATGTGTCACAGACGCAGCTGCTGCGCTGCCTTTACGTTCTGCCTTCATCTGAGCATCTCAAAGCATTTTGCGAAGGCAGGTGAGTATCCCATTGTATAGATGGGGAAACCGAGGCACAGAGCAGGGCTGTGACTGGCCCAAGGTCACACAGGTGTCAGGAGCAAAGTTGGAAATAGAACCCAGGGATCCCTATTCCCAGTTCCCTATTCAGATCAAGGCTTCTCTCTTCATAAATCCGGCTGCCAAGCTTGGCTTCCTCCAAATGGCCTGGCCCTGCACACTGATGCTACCAGGCTCCTGGCCATGTGCCTGCTGCTGCCTGGTTCCAGTTGGAGGATCAGAAATAACCGGGAGAGAGCCCCTCCTGCAGCATGTCCAGCACTGCCCGGCCTGGCCCGGCAGGGACCCAGAAATGCATTCAGGGTGGGAGGGATAGCTCAGTGGTTTGAGCATTGGCCTGCTAAACTCGAGGTTGTGAGTTCAATCCTTGAGAGGGCCACTTAGGGATCTGGGGCAAAAATCAGTACCCGGTCCTGCTAGTGAAGGCAGGGGGCTGGACTTGATGACCTTTCAGGATCCCTTCCGGAGATAGATATATCTCCAATGAAAAACAGCCAGGGGTGGGGATTAACTGGTCTCTAACAACGCATGGCCTGGTCCGACTCCTGTTCTGGGGGATGGCCTCGGTCAGTTCTCTTGAAGTTTCCATCTCCAGCTGTCACTGGCTTTGCCAAGGTGCCTGTGCCCGTTCCATGGCACCAGTGGGGGTAGGTTGGCTGGTTTCCCACCCCACGGGGCAAAGGTACTCTGGTGCCGGTGGGTGAATATGGCTGTTTCTAAGGCAGCTCAGGTACTGACATACACGTGTGCCCCACCTCGTTCCCACAGGGAGGTGGAGTCCCAGCCTGCAAGGACTGTCCTGACAGACAGCTACATTTGGAGGGCTGGACGCTCTGCTCACTCCCCCTGAGGGAAACCCCAGTGCCCTACACTCGCGGGAGGGGAGAACCAGGCTCCTAGAATGGCGACTCAGGGCCTGGGCTAGACTCGAGCCCACCCCCCCGGGTGGCGGACGTCCCTCCGGGTCACTTTTCGGCTCTACACCCTACCCCGTCCTTCTTGTCCCGCTCCAGCGCTCCATGCAGGAAATCCCGGGACACCTCCTCGTTTTCATCCAGCCACTGGATAACAAAAGGCTCAAACCAGCTGGAAGAGAAAGAGACAGGGAGATGGGGCAGCGGGAGAGGGGCTCACGTCCCTGCTGTTTGGAATAACACTCCAACAAGCCCACGAGAGGGAAGGGGAAAGAGGTCGGTTTGATGCGCTATGTGGTCTGCACTCGGCATCTGGCCCACACAGACCACACGGCAGAGGGGTTCCCAGCCAGCGTCTGCCCTCTGTTATCCATTTACTCCACTGGCTTCCAATCCATCGGGCCGGCTTCTCCTCTTCCATCCATGATCCCACTGAGCCCAGGTCTGCCCTCCCCGGGATAACGCGGGGCAGCTCCACTGCGCTCACGTGGGCAGAAAGACAGTTGTGCCCAGTGGCGTCTCTGGAGCTGCTCCTGATTTACACCGGGGACAATGAGAGGGGAATCCAGCCCGTGTCCCGTCACTCCGATTCAGCACCTCTGACAATCCGGCCTCCCGCATTCGACCCTGGGCCTGCTCACCCCGCTCTGCCCACAGAACCCTGCGTGGGCCTAGCGCTGCTGCCTGGTACTCCTTGCACGGGGTCAAAATCAGAAATCAGAATCCATCTCCTGAAGCACACCTGGCGCCTGGCCTCGGTCCCTTCCCAAAGCGCACTGAGACACACCTCGGCTCTGCTACAGAGGTGGGAGCCCCAGCTCCCTTGGGAGGCAGCTTCTGGGGCCAGGCGCTCCCCTGCCCCCTCTGAACAGGCACCTGGGCTTGGAAGACACTCTTAACCCCTGCCCGCAAGCCCCGTCAGCGGGAAACAGACAGCAGCCGGGCTGGCCACTCAGTGCCGCGGTCGCCTAGGGAAGGACAAGTCCTGGCCCCGGTGTGTGGAGTTTTGTCTGTCTTCCAGGCCCCCGGAGCACTAAGGAACCCACGTGCTGAGGACATCAAGCCTTTCGCTGCTGGAGTGAAATACTAGCGTAGCACTGACCCACTGGGAGATCAACCGGAGCATGAAGCTCCCTGACTGTCCCCCTGAGCACTCCGGCGGAGCCTTATCAAGCGGATAACTAAGAGAGCCTCGTTCAGAGCCCGGCTGGGAGTGGGTGCCAGAGGGGAAGCCAGTCCCCAGGATCCCAGAGGAGGTGGGTGTTGGTTTTCTGTCTCCCCTCCCGTCTGAGCTGCAGATCACAAACCCACCAGAGCAGGCAGGAGAATGGGATGCAAGCCCGATGTTTAATTACAGCGATTGATCCCTCGGGCCCTGCATTTCCCGTTGATGGGAGGGAGCCTGCTGGGACTCGGTAACACCCGGAGCAGAGTCGGAAAGGCTGAAAGAGCTCCGGGAACACACGGCAGCAGCCCAGAAACCGGCCGGCTCTGGACTTGCCAAGCACAAGGCAATAAACGCTTCCGGTGCCTGCTCAGCCCCAGGGTGACCCACCCGCGATGCTAGATGTGTGTTTGGGGGGCCAGCCCTTCCCACCGCTCCTGCGATCCACGTAGCGCAGGCATGTCGCCTCGAGCTAATTCCAGCTCCAGCTCCGAGCACAGCCGGACCCTTAGTGAGGAGGAAGGAGGGCGAGGAAGGGAAGGGGAGCGAGCAAATGGAGGGGTGAAGAGCAGAAGGGAGGAGGAGGTCGGTATGACAGAGGCACAGGGTGGTAAGATCCTGCTCCTCCCTCCTTCCTCTCCCAACCCACTGACTGCAAGGGGAGAGGACACCCAGTGTTAGACGTGCGTGGGGTGACCGTATTTCCCAAAGTGAAAAGAGGACGTGTGGGTCACCCTAGATGTGCGCCTTGCCCAATGCCTCAATCCAACTGCCTCCCCCCCCGAGTGCTGAGTGGCGCTGCAGAGGCCTGAGTCGCCCCCGCCTGGCACCCTGGGCTGGGGTTTGCACCCGGGGGTGTGGAAATGCAGCAGAGCCGAGCGTAAATGGCCGCAGGAGAGGCTGGGCAGCAGAGAACCAGCCCCCGACTGCACCGCGCTCCCAGTGCCTGGGAACACACGGCACACACTGTTGCAACCAATGTTCTGTCTTACACCCCTGTGAGTTTCTTTATGAGTCCCTGAGACTTGGCCAGGCCGAAGAGCAGCTGCTAGTGTGAAGGGCACCAGCTCTGAGCCGGGGGTGCGCCCGGCTCGCGCCCGGCTCCTTGGACTCTTCCTCCTGCTTTTAACTAAAAGGGGTCGTTCGGGAGTCCCCGGCCCCTGACCCGGCCCTGTCAGCCCCCTCCCGCTAGCCGGCCGGCCCCCCGCAGCGCCAGGACTTACGCGGGGTATTCGGGGACACGGCTCTTGAAGGCAGGGAGCTCGGTCACATACTCGTTATAAAGCCATTTCACTTTGAAGTGCAGGTTCATGTAGTCAGCACTTTTACACAGGCGATGCTTGTCATGCTCTGCAGGGGAGGGGAGAGAGGGAGGTCATGGGGGTCACCCCCCCTCCCGCTACTCATCCGCCCTCAGGCTGAATCCCAAAGCTCTGGCGCAGGCTAAGCTCCCCAGGACCCATCCCGAGAGGTGCGGGCCAGGCTCGGTGCCCGGAGGGAGGGAGGTCAGGGGGCTCAGTGCAGCGGGAGCTGTGCTAGGGACTCGGGGGGTGGGGGCACTCCTAGGCTGGAAATACCCTTGCCCCACAGGCTGCTAGCCTGGGCACAGCGGAGAGCGGCCATTGGCCAACAGGCCGGCAGGGAGCCACAGACTCACTCCGGCCACCACGGTTCCTTCCCAGGGTGGAGTTCGACCCAGCGCTGTGCTCCTGGAGGGGCTAGAACAGCTGCCCCCAGCCTGTGAGCAGGGGCGGGGGAGTCACTGCCCAGCGAGAGATGGGAGGGGCTCACCACCTGCCCGGCGCATTGGGGGAAGGGGAAGAGGCCACAGTGCAGTGAGGACTGCGCAGCTGAGAGAAGAGAGGCCTGAGGGGGGGGATATGACAGGGCTACGAAATCATGAATGGTGCAGAGAAAGTGACTAGGGAAGTGTGTTTACCTTTCGCACAATACAAAAACCAGGGGTTGCCTGAGGACATTAGTAGGCAGTGGGTTTCGTATAAACAAGAGGGAGGTACCTTTTCACACAGTGCACGATTAACCTGTGGAACTCATTGCCAGGGGACGTTGTGAAGGCCAAAAGTATGACTGGGCTCAAAACAGAACTGGGTAAGTTCCTGGAGGATAGATCCATCAATGACTATTAGCCAAGATGGTCAGGGACGCAACCCCATGCTCGGGGCGACCCCAAACCTCTGACTGCCAGAAGCCGAGAGGGGAAGACAGGGGTAGATCATTCCAACTGCCCTACTCTGTACACTCCCCTGAAAGCTCTGGTACAGGCCACTGTGGGAGACAGGATACTGGACAAGATGGCCCATGGTCTGCCCCAGTCTGGCAGCTCTGCTGTATTTATGATCATGGTCTATAAGGCCCAGATCCGCCAAGGTATTTCCACTGAAGTGACTGGATGGTAGGAGCGAGGACGTGGGCCAAGCACCTAACTGGGGAAAGAGATCTGACCGCAGGGGCCCTTTCAGCTAGTGGATAAAGGCCCGAGCCTAATGAAGCCCGATGGCTGGAGGATGAGGCTAGGAAAACACAGACTGGAAACAAGGGGCAAATTCTTAACAGGAAGGAGCAGCTTCCCCAGCTACCATCATCAGCTCTCGGGGTCTTTAAATCGAGCCTGGTGCCTTTCTGAAGCTGTTCTGAGGTTCAGCCGTGGGTTTGGTAGGATCACTGGACGGAAGAGGGCAGAGTGAGTTGACAGTATGCCCTTGTTGCCAAGGCGGCTAATGGCATTTTGGGCTGTATAAGTAGGGGCATTGCCAGCAGATCGAGGGACATGACCATTCCCCTCTATTCAACATTGGTGAGGCCTCATCTGGAGTACTGTGTCCAGTTTTGGGCCCCACACTACAAGAAGGATTTGGAAAAATTGGAAAGAATCCAGAGGAGGGCAATAAAAATGATTAGGGGTCTGGAGCACATGACTTATGAGGAGAGGCTGAGGGAACTGGGGTTATTTACTCTGCAGAAGAGAAGAGTGAGGGGGGATTTGATAGCAGCCTTCAACTACCTGAAGGGGGGATCCAAAGAGGATGGAGCTCGGCTGTTCTCAGTGGTGGCAGATGACAGAACAAGGAGCAATGGTCTCAAGTTGCAGTGGGGGAGGTCTAGGTTGGATATTAGGAAACACTATTTCACTAGGAGGGTGGTGAAGCACTGGAATGGGTTACCTAGGGAGGTGGTGGAATCTCCTTCCTTGGAGGTTTTTAAGGCCCGGCTTGACACAGCCCTGCCTGGGATGATTTAGTTGGGGTTGGTCCTGCTTTGAGCAGGGGGTTGGACTAGATGACTTGGACTCCCTAAAGGCTAAGGCACTTTAGCTAGCCAGTGACTGGCTGCCCTGGTGTTTGCCTGATGCACAGGTCTCCACGCAGGAGAGGAGCCGGGGACGGGGGCTTGACCCACTCTGAGCAGTGGGTTAATGTTACTATTTTCCAAACTGAAATCATTGCAACCAGCGCAGGGAGGGAAACACGGCTGCGTTTCCCCCGGGAAGAGGCTGGGACCATTCTCCACCCCGGCCCCGCAGCCAGCATCATGGTGGATGCCGCTTCTTCCCAACGCCCCTTTCTCTGGTGGGTCTTGTCGTGCGTTAGCGGAGTGTGTACGTGCAGCGCTGCCCTTTGCTGGGTGCATCCGGAGCGGCTCCGCTGGCGTCCTGGGACGGTGCTGTTAGCAGAGACTCTCCGTTAGTTCGGAGAGCAGGGGAACGCGCCGCGTCCCGTCCCCACGGCGGCGGCCGCACGGATCCGCAGCACGGGGACCGCGGTGGAGTTGGGGGTTGCCGAGGCTTTGGTTCGGTGAAACGGAGGCTGATCCCCCGTCACCTGCCAGCAGGAGGCAGAGGAGCGACAAGATGTAGCCCAGGAGAGACTCACCTTCCATTGCATATTTCATGTCCTGAGCAAAGAGGTTCCACATCACCTCGGCGCTGATCTTACCCACGTTCAGCTCCTGGGGGAACCTGGCAGGAAGGGAGGAAAAATGGATGACTCCAACAGCTACAGAATAAATCCCCAAACCAACGGCTTCCGACCGAGAGGGACGGTCTCCCCGGTGCCCCCACGGCACAGTGCAGACCCAGGAACAGCCGCACACACATGGGCCACCCAGGGCTTTTCCCAGGAGGCTCCACGCTTCTCCACTCAGCTCCCACCAGGCAGGAGACGGGCAGGTGACAGGAATCCCAAGCGAGGGACAAGCCCAGAGCTGCCCATGGAGGTCTCCCCCCAGGCTAGTGCAGAATCCCCATGGCTCATGCATTGATGCTCTCAGCACGGTGTCTGTGAACCAGCTCAGATCCGTTTTACTGACACTCCCTGGCGGTGACCGTCCCCAGGCCGGTACTCACTGGTTCAGGCAGGGCGTATAGGAGTTCTTATCCTCTTCAATAATCGAAACAATCAGCGTGATGAGTTTGGACCAGAAATCCAGGTTCTTGATGCTGGGCCCCTGCTCCTCGGGGGGGACCTCGCCTTTCTTTGTCTGGGAAAAGCCCAAAGACAAGGGGAGGAAAGTCTCGGGTTAATCGCGTGTGGGAATGCAGGGATTGCTGTCCCATGGGGCACAACCTCGGTTTGGCTTCCAGACGCTGAGATTTTCCTTTGGCTTGGAAATCAGCGATGGCTGTGACCTGCTAGCTCCTTTCCAGCCCATCCTCTGGGGACCAGGACAGGGCTGCTCTGACCCAGGCACAGAACCAGGCTGGGGTCCAGTCTAGGGTCAGGCTGCCCGGAGGTGCACATCTCTGCACACCTCCCCCTGGTCCCATATGGGAAACCTGGAGACTCGGGCCCCGTACGGGGCTTTTCTGGGAGAGGTGATCCCAGCCGGCCAACAGGCATTCCTGGAGCCTCCTGTCCCGTGCCTCGCCTGATCCTTAAATGGGGTGACGCTCCACCGAGCCAAGGGGGGCTGCAGAGCTCCCCAGCGTGTGGGCCCCCGAGTCAGACGCTAGCTCTGGATCCAAACGAACGGGGAAAGTGCTTAGCTTCAATGGAGACAGGGATAGGGAGGGTAGGGTTCACTATAGGGCTCCTGGGTGTGAGAAAGGAAGAAAGAAAGAGCGATCCAAAGGGAGGATCAAAGAGAAGGGAGGAATGGGGAAGGGAAAGGGATGTAGAATGAAGGGGGGAGCAGAAAAGCTGGGCGAGCAGTGGGGGCCCCATGCTGAACGGCGCTCGCTCTGGGTCCAGTCCTGCCAGCCTGTGATGGGCCATGTCCCCATCCCAATCAGGAAAGGGTGGACAGCTCCTCTGGGCCGAGTCCCCACCCAAGAGCCAGCCGGCGGAGCCTGGTCCAGCGGGAGGAAGCCGGTTCCGGGAAGTGGGGACAGCTCCCAGGAAAGCTGCCGCAACAGGGAACTAGGAGCTGAGATTCTCGCTACCCAGCAGCTGAGAGGCTCTGCCCCGGGCAAAGGCTGATCTGGAAGCGCCCGAGTGCGCCCCCCGCCCCCCAAAAGGCCCTGCCTGCCCCGCGGCGGGGAGGGCGGCCAGGCGGGGCTCCGCCCCCTGCCCCACGTACCGGGTCGGTCTGGTACTCGCGGCTGTACAGCTCGTGACAGTTGTTGAAGATGTACTCGTAGGTGGAGTTGAGGCAGGCTTTCACGCAGTCCTTCACCACCTGGCTGGCCCGGGGCGGGCTCTGCAGCTCCTGCACCTGTGGGATGGGGAAGGGAGACAGGGTCACGCTTTGCCACGGCCGCCTCCCGAGACGGCCTCGCTGCCTGGAAAAGAAAACCCACGTCGCCGGGAGCTCAGGCAGTGCCAGGCGTTGGCTCTTGGCTGCCAGGGGAGGGACGCCAGACAGCAGGTGTCACTCGGGAAGCTGCCATGGGATGCATCACAGGCCGCCCGAGTCACACAAGGAGCCTCGGTCAGTGCCCATGTCCCTAGTGCCAGCCCTGGGCTGCCTGCCTGGAGCAGGACGCCCCCCGGGGGGAGAAATCCCACCCCTTCGGAGCCGGCAAGGCGGAGCCCTGGCATGGGACTGCCGTCACTTCCAGGATCTCTAGATGCCATTCGACAGAAGCGCTGTTATTACCACTGAACTCCATGGTGGCTCGCGTTGGATTTCAGTACACAGGATGGGCAATTAATTAAGCTAATTAATATGCGGCACAGCTCCTCAGCTGCATTCTGGAAGCAGAGGGATCCCAGGCCAAGTGGCTGCTCCTTTGGGAGCTGGGGGATCTCTCCCTCTGAGAGGGAACCAGCCAGCAGGCACTGGGCGTTACCTTCATTCGGAAGAAGGTGATGCTAGTTAACAGATCCACCGTCGACTTGAGATCCTGCAGCCTCTCCGGGCTGCTGGCAGGGAAGTTGTTCTGCCAGGAAAGAGAGAAGATTAGAGGGCCACATGACGGCTAGGAGAGCAAGCAGGGGGTCCCCTGGTTGAAGTTTCAGAGCTAACGGGTGGTCTGATCAATACCAATCCTGCCCCCACTGAAACCAGCGGCAAACCTCCCAGTTACATCCACAGCTCTCCGAGCTGAGCAGCGCTGCTCCCATAGCTGGGGAAACTGAGGCACAGAATGACTCAGCCAAGGTCAGTAGCAGACACCGGGCCTAGAATCCAGTTTCCTGAATCCCCCTCCAGCACCTCATCCACTGGACCAGCTTGAGCCCTGGACAGGCTCTAGCCTGGTGGCAGGAGACTCCTCGCACAAGGGACTCGGCTGCAGGTGACCAGGGAGCAGCTCTGAAGCCCGTTTCAAAGGCTGCCGGCATTCGTCCCCGTCCCCCACCCCGTGTGGGGCCGGTTCCCCTTACCCGGTACATGGACAGGTCAATCCGGAGCGAGTTGTGCAGCTGGTCCAGCAGCTTGACGAAACGTTCTTTCTGCAGAGACACGCCAGGTAAACGGGAGAACGGCGACCAAAGCCCATTTCCCCACCTCCCCGGCTCAGCCGTTTCCAGACCGCCCCCCTCTGTCCCTTGGCAGCTACCCCCTGCGGGCGGGGGTGTGTGTGTCAGCAGAACCGTGCTGGGTGAGGGGAGCGCGTTTACTGACGCTAGCTACCATCTCTCTGTTACACTTAGCAGGAAGGTTCAGAAACAAACGTAAACTCAGGAGCAAACTGTAGTGCAGTGAGCAGCTTAATCCTAGCCGGGTTGTCAGCAGCCCCTGTCTGGTGATGCTGGGATGGAAGCTGGAGAGCCAGAGAGAACCACAGGCTCTGAGTCCAGCAGCTTCAGTCGAGAAGCCCCTTGAGATCCAATGCAGGGGAGCCTGTGCTCTCCTCTACTACGAGCTGGATTCGCTGGTACATAACTGTAAACTGGCCTATAAAATGGGCGCCACATTTCAGGAAGGATGTGGACAAACTGGAGAAAGTCCAGAGAAGAGCGACAAAAATGACGAAAGGTCTAGAAAACATGACCTGGGAGGGGAGATGGAAAAAACTGGGTTTGTTTAGTCTGGAGAAGAGAAGACTGAGAGGGGACATGATAACAGTTTTCAAGTACATAAAAGGGTGTTACAAGGAGGAGGGAGAAAAATGGTTCTTCTTAACCTCTGAGGATAGGACAAGAAGCAATGGGATTAAATTGCAGCAAAGGAGATTTAGGTTGGACATTAGGAAAAACTTCCTAACTGTCAGGGTGGTTAAACACTGGAATAAGGGAGGTTGTGGAATCTCCATCATTGGGGATTTTTAAGAGCAGGTTAGACAAACACTTGTCAGGAATGGTCTAGATAATATTGAGCCCTGCCATGAGTGCAGGGGACTGGACTAGATGACCTCTCGAGGTCCCTTCGAGTTCTATGATGCCACCTTAAAAGGGCCCGAAGTCCTTGCTCAGTGAGGACAACGGGAACTTTGCCAGAATTAACCCAAATGGCTGAAATCTGGTCTCATTTACACGGCTGTAAATCTAGAGTAACTCCACTGAGTTTCCTGGAGTCACTTTGGGTTTACACCACAGGAGGGAGAGCCCTAAGTCAGGGCGTTCAGGCTGAGGCCTTGGGCTTGTGCCCCATCAGCACTCACTAAATAATGAATATTAATAACTGTGACGAAGTGGGGGATTTCCTTGGTTTTTCCTTGTTTTTGGTGGGGTTTCAATGGTTTGCATGCGGAGGGGGTAGGACTCAGTGTCCCTGGGGGTTACTGGTTTAACGAGGTGAGGGGAGAGGGAGTGTGTTTTGCAGAGGACCGGAGAGGGAACTTGGGACCCCAGCCAATGGCCTGGAGGATGGACACCCCAGCGACCGGTGACCTGAGACCCCGACCCGGAGACCCAGCTGAGGAGTCGCAGCCGGTTCTGGCCAGTGGGCGGACAATGGGCTGCAGAGTGAGGACCCAGTGACCTAACCAGCCGGTTCCAGCCAGAGGACAGAAGCAGGAGAGGAGGCCCCAGTTTACGGCCCTGTTTACCTGGAGAGAAGACAATGGACAGAGGTGGGGCCTGGGGCCAGGGATCTCAGAGGCCCAGCTGGGAGCAGGGGGGCTCTGGGCTGGAGAGGGGGAGCAGGCAGAGCCCACCTGGATGCAGAGAGACTGGGATGTGCTGGGCTGAGGGAGGCCAGGCCTGAGGCCCTGAGAGTTTCCTGTGCTGTGTTCAACTCTCAATAAATCCTCCTGTTTTACGCTGGCTGAGAGTCACTCCGGTCTAGAGAACAGGGTAGCATCAACCCCTTCGGGGGTGGAGGCCCGGGCGGTCCAGAGCGAGTGGACTCCCTGAGGGGGCCCACGGCGAGAGACAGACGTACTAAGGCTCAGAGAGGTGCGGCTCCAGGAGGTGGAGGGGCCTGACCCCGAGAGAGAGCGGACCCCCGCGAAGGGCTGTCTCACTGAAAGGGGCACCCCCTCCACGGACCGCACGGGGCCAAGAGTGGGCACGATCTGTGAGTCCGTGACAATAACTAATAATCGTAAGTAAACGTTCCACTGGCCGGCAGCCAGGCTGGGAAAGGGACTGAGCCTGCTTCCACAGCCAGAACGCTCAGCACGGACACGGTCTGCCAGGCTGGTTTCCTGCTGGGATGCTGCCCCAGTGCTGTTTGCAAGGTCTCTCTGTGGGGGGAAGGGCTTTGCTAGTGGGGACTTTTATGGGGTTATTCCAGAATTGCACTGGGTGAACAGAGATCAAGAACGGGACCATCATTTTTAACTCAACTAACTAACTAAAACAATGAGGAGTCCGGTGGCACCTTAAAGACTAACAGATTTATTATAAATATATTATTATTATATATATTATATTATAATTATAATGCCCTAAAAATCTGTTAGTCTTTAAGGTGCCACCGGACTCCTCGTTGTTTGTGTGGATACAGACTAACACGGCTACCCCCTGATACTTGGTAACTAACTAACTAACCTTTAACCTGTTAATCTGTCACCTTTAGAAACTTTCCTGCTTTTAGCTTCCAGTCCCATGTCCCAGTCCTGCCAACACTTATGCACATACTTTCCTTTACACATGTGAGTATTCCCCTGAACTCTCCTGGGCTGGTCAACGTGAGTACAGTCAAACACATGCCACGGTCTTTGCAGGATCAGGGCCAAAATGCAAATCTCTCCGAGGTTTGTCCAGACCAGATGGGCAGCGGGGAGTCGGGGGTTCTATAGAGTTTGCTCTCAATTCAGGTTTCACCAAGAACTACCAGGGCCGTGCAAAAGTCACAATGGATTTTGGTGAAAGCGTTCGGGATTTCTCTTTGGGCAACTGCCTGCCTGCAAAGATTTGCTTTCTGCTGGTGGGTGGGGAGGTTTTTTGATATCAAAAGGGTGAGTTTTTATATATGATTTCATTGCGATTTCCACCAGTGGTCAAAAATGGGCCAGATTTCACTCAAAACATCCAGTGCTTTTTTAAAAGCAAAGTTTTACCCTTTTAGGTGAAACAGTCGCAAATTTGCCAAGAAAAACTGGAGGGTTTTCAAAGTGGCGATCAAGCGGGGAGCACTTGCCCTTTGGTGGTGATGTTTTTGCATGGCTCCTTCTACTCCGCTCCCCTCCCAACGGGTGCCGAGAGGAGAGAAATAGGAAGGAGAGTTCTACGCACCATAGGACTTACCCCAAAATTGGAAGCAGCAAAGCGGTCTGAGGCAGACACGTTGGTGGAGGCAGTGGTGTGGGCATAGTATGCGTTGATGTTGGCGAGAAGGGTGCTCATCACGGCCGGCACTCCGGGACACATGTATTTGGAGGACAGGCAGGCAAAGTGACTGAAAGAGAAGAGATGACAGGCTGCAAGGCCTTCAGAGTCCGGGGCCGTGCGTGAGGGCCGGGATGCTGCAGTTATGGGACGTGCTGCACGACGGGTCTGGTGTGGTCTGGGTGTGAGAGCAGGGTGCAGTGGGGGGGGAAGGCCGTGGGATGTAGGATGTGTACGTGCCATGTGGCGGGTGTGCTTTGTAGACCATGGGCCCTGTATGTCAGAAGGGGCTGCTGTGTGTGTGCCTGTGCGCAGTGTGGGTTGTGAAGCAAGTGTGTCAGAAGGGGATAGCGCACAGAGTGTGTTCATCTGTTTGTTTATGTATGCATGGCGGGTGGCTTGTAGAATGGGTGTATGTAGGGGGTGGTTTAGATTGTGGGGTGGTGTGTGAAGGGTGTGCAAGGTGTGTGTGTGTGCATGCAGGATGTGTGTATGTGAAAGGTGTGCACGTGGGCATGTGCAGTGTGTGTGTGTGCAATATGTGTAGTGTGTGCGTGTGCAGGGTGTGTGAATGTGTGAAGAGTGTGCTCTGTGTGTAGTACGTGCGCAGTGTGTGCGCAGTGTGAGTAGGGCGTGTGTGTGCAGTGCGTGTAGGGCGTGCATTGCAGTGCGTGTAGGGCGTGCATTGCAGTGCGTGTGCAATGTGTGTAGGGCGTGCGTGTGCAATGTGTGTAGGGCGTGCGTGTGCAGTGTGTGTGCAGAGTGCGTAGGCTGTGTGCAGTGTGTGTAGGGCGTACGTGTGCAGTATGTGTAGGGCGTGTGTGTGCAGTGCGTATGTTTGGGAGCAGACTGAGCCCTGCACCTTTCTCTTCAAACCAGAACCAATCTGATGCTCGAAGGCGGCGTGCGCCTCTCCCCTGCCCATTGGGTGACTCCGTAGCAGCCAGCCCGAGGGGGGACGCTGCAGGCTCCATGTGTCTGTCTGAACGGCTGAACTCGCTCCCGCATCCGCACCCTGGGCTTGGACTAACCAAACACTCTGCACCCCTGAAGTGGACATCAGTATGAGGGGCTCTTGGAGACGGGGAATCCCAGGCCCCCACAGAGAGAGACGTTCTACGCCTTTCTCCCCTCCCACGGCACAGGGCAGGACTCAGCTGGTGTCAATCAACTTCACTCATTGACTTCAAGGGAGTTGCTCCTGGTGACACCAGCCGAGGATCTGGCCCTGTATCTTTACCCTTTGCCCTGTGTTAATTTAACCCCTTCAAACAAACAGGGAGCAAACGGGAGAGACGCACGTCATGGCCTGGTAGATGGACTCCACCCCGTATCTCATGGCGAACTCGTCCACTATCTCCTGGGCCGTCTCGTCGAAGTACACCTTCCAGGCGTCGTCCCCCTTGGCCTCGGGGATCTTCACCACCCCGTTGTTCTGTATGTCCGTCACGAAGTGGAAGAGGTTCTAAGGCACGGGACAGAAGAGAACCCTCAGGGTCACTGCTTGGAAAGGCTTCAACTGGAGAATCAGTGCGAGTGGGTCTGGGGAGGAATTATAACACTGCTGTGTGTATCAGAGGCCCAGCACCGCTGAGCGGACGCGGCGAATGGAGAGCTCAGTTCTCTGGCGCCCTGGTAAGCATCTGCACCAGGGAAAGTGACTGCAAGAACACTGCCTGATTGGCACCGGTGCACCTGGTGCTGCGGTGGAGACTCAGATCCAGGGGCGGGGGGCGATATAAACAGACGCCCTGGGAAGACAGGTCCACTAGCCCTGGAGACTGAGCTCCCTACACGGTCCCTCCGAGTCCCGGGTGAGGCACGCTGGCATGGGGCAGTGTGCGGCAGAATCAGTGCCCCTGCTGTGCCCGCTCTGGCAAGGACGGGAGCCCTTCGCTCTCTGGGGCTCCCAGACCAGGCCCTTCAAATTCACTTGAAACTTTAAGACATTTTAAAACCAGCATTCTGACACTAAAAGGCAGCAGGGCGGGGTGGGAGCAGCGAGGCCCTGGGGCACGGCTCACCTCGTGCAGGCAGGTGTATTGCACGTGGTACGGTGCCACCTTCTCCTCTCCCTTGATCTCCACGCTGATGTGCAGCCGGATGGCTCCGGACACGGCCGACTTGTCCGTCCGCTTGTCTGACGACAGGAGAGCAGGAAGCAGAGGAAGCATTAGCTCATTGACGGCCCTTTACAACAGCAAAAGGCAGTGGGAAATGCTGGCTTGGGGGATGTGACAAACTGGGACTGTTCTTAATGTGGTCTTTAAATGCTGAGTGGGGAGTGTTGGCCGGGGAAGGTGGCAGGGGAGTTTGGCTTGGACGGTCTGCATTGGGGGATGGGAGACTGGCCTTGAGGGAAGATACCTGAGCATGTAACGTGAGAACCAGGAAGGGGGTTGGAGCCAGGTGACACCTCTGCCTGGGAAACTGGACAAAGGCTGGGGGAGGAGCCAGGGGGAGGCTGAGTGGGAGATGCTGGAGGGAGTTTGAGTTTTGGAGCTGGCTGGTGAAAGAGAGGGGAGCCCAGATGGGGCTCTGACCCCCCCCCCCATGGGGCTGTGGTGTCCCTGGGGCCCCTAGATGGACCAAACTGAGGGGGTCCTGTTGTCTGTACCTGCAAGACCTGTCTTGGACTGTGTTCCTGTCATCTAAATAAACCTTCTGCTTTACTGGCTGGCTAAGTCATGGTGAATCGCAGGAAACCGGGGGTGCAGGGCCTGGTCTCCCCCCACACTCCACTGGTCTCCCCCCACACTCCGTGATGGGGGTACTGCCCGGGCCTGGCACATAGGCAGGCTAGGTTCAATTCCCAGCTATGACCTGGGGGTTTTGGGCAAATCACTGGTCTCAGCTCCTGTTTGTAAAAGGGGCTAATGCTATTCCCCGGGTCTATTCAGCTGTAGCTCTCCGGGGTGAGGACTCTCTCCTGCTATGTGTACGTACAGTGCCTGTAGGTGGTAGTAGAACACAAACAACAATGGATTTCATCTTGTCTGGACTCCTGCATCCAGTTGAAGAAGGATGGAGCAGGTGCTGAGAAGGGCTCCTAAGGTGATCAGGGGAACGCAGGGCCTGCCTCACGAGAGGAGACGAGAACCTGCCTTGTATAGCCCGGCAGAATAAAGGCCGGGAGGGGATCTGATTGCTTTCGATACATAGGTGGGGGTGCGGGGGACGCCAGGGAGGGAGAGAAACGAAAGGACAGCGCTGGCACAAGAACAAACAGGGATGAATCCGCCCAGGGACAAACGCAGGCTGGGAAGGAGACGCAGGTCTCTAACCGTCAGAGGAGAGAGGCTCTGGAGCAGCTTCCCCAGAGGAGCTTTGGGGAAGAACGACCTAGCTGGGGTGAGGATGGAGCAGGATTATCAGCAGGAGCTGCCTGCGCTAGCAGGGACTGGACTCCGGGGCCCAGGAGGTCCCTGCCAGCCCTGTGGCCTCTGTCCAATGATGCAGTAACAAATAAATACAATACAATGACACACCGGCCGTGTACATGATAAATAGCGACAACACTCTAAAAAGCTTTTCAACCTTGTTTGCACGGAAATCGCTACATACCACAGAGTCACAGCCAGTGGAGTCAACGGGAGCGGGTCACTGACTGCCGCGGGGGCTGGAGCGGGCCCTAGAGTTGTATATTGACTGTGCCGGGGACAGGGGATTACCTAGGTTGTACCAGACATCCATCTCCCCGCTCAGTGTCCGGACCTCTATGATCGTCTGGCCCAGAAAGTCGTCGGATTCTCTCTTAAAGCGCTGCTTGACGCGGGACTTGATATCGTCGTCCTCGTCCCAGACCCGCACCTTGATCCGATCGGAGGAGTTATGGCATTCGCTGGGGTGGGGGGAGGACAGAGAAATTCCCAGAGCAATGACATGAACCAGGTTAGCCTCCAGGAAGGGGGCATTCCTAGCAAAGAACCCCCCTCCCATCCCCCAGCAAAACCCAGCCATTCAACTGGGAGCTCCCTCACACCCTTGCAGTCCTATCGCAAAAGGCTCCTGGGAGTGGTGGGGGTGGGTAGCTGCCCCCAGACCAGCATCCCCTGAGCCTGCAATTCCCCACCGTGGACAGACAGTGCTGGCGTGCTGACGCACTTTTTAATTCCCACAAGGCCCATGCACCGGGCTTAAGTAGGACTTAAGTGGTGCGTGGACCTTGTGCAGGCTTTCTATATAGGGGTGAACCGTCCAACTTCAATCCTGAGCCAGGAGAGCTGGAATTCAGCCTCCTTGGGCGTCCGGCAGAGAGCGCTAGCACAAAGCTCAGGTGACACGAGGGTCTCCTGCAGGAAGGGTGGGAAGATGAAGCATTCAGGTGGCATGAAGCCACAGGACCTAAAGCCACAGGCCGGCCAATGCCTCCAGTGCTGTAATGTCCTGGGGGAGAGGCTGTCCCCTCCAAATTCCTGACCAGGGCTTGGAAACAACCAGAAGCAACTGACCCCCGGAGAAAATCCATCCCAGATATAGTGAGCCCAGTGCACACCAGGAGTCGGTATGTCTACACAGCACACTAACCCCCCTGCTCTGACTCTGATTTCAGCCCACGCCCCCCTTCGGGCCGCACACAAATCAGTTTGACTCAGGTCAGCAAGCGCTCTGGGCCCAGGTCCGAGGACGGGGTTTGGGACAGAGCCCAAAACCCGCTGTGACTTGGTCCAAGTCCTGTCATTGTGCAGTGTGAACGCAAATCAAGCTGCAGGCCTGGGTGACTGAGAAGAAGGAACACGCGGCCCCACGCGCCAGGCAGCCCTGGGGACTAGAGAGGTGGGGCAGGGAGTAGGATGTAACTTACAAATGGAAATTCTCCTCCCAGACCGGGTTTAGATTTCCATAGATCGTTTTAGTCCTTTTTTTCGTCTTTCCAACCTGGACAGTAACATACGGGTCACTGGAGCCTGTCTTATCCTTTGCCTGCAGGCCCTGGGCACAGACAACTATAACACAACACACACCCCATGCGCACAGAGGCACAAATGTTTATATGCACACACACGGCACCACGCATCAGCCAGCCCCACAGAGACACAATACACACACAACAGAGAGAACAGATAAAAACAGGAATCAATGGCAGATACAGAACAACCGGGCAACAAGCGATTTTCAAATCAGCCAGAGCTCGAAAGAGGAGCCCGACTTGGCTTGGAATCCATTGCAAGGGTTGGATCCAGGCATCCAGCCGGATTGATGCAGGTTCTAATGGGAATTCGCTTCCTTTTGCCAAAAGCCCGTGCTGGAGACGTGTGTTTCCTGGGCTCCCAAAGGGAGGAAAGCGCCCGGTTAATTTCCTCTCAGCTGCTTGCACCTGGCACAGTCTCCGCAATGGGCTAACGACAGCAGAAGAATATCTACCCCTCGATGCACGAGGGACCTGACCTAGCCTGCTGCGAGATCCACAGCAGGGGACGAAGCTGGGCTCCAGAGATCTGCACACAGAGCCCTGGGAGTCGAGAGCCTCATTAACAGGGAGCTGCCGCCCATGCAGGCTTCAGGTCCCAGCATGCAATGCTCTGTCCTTAGCCAATTTCGAGTGGATCAAGGCAACGCACAGCATGCTAGGAGCGGTAAGCCCTGCAGCAATAGAGCTGAGAGTGCCTGGCCTGGAGTTCAGAGGGTGGCATGGGGTCCCCATGATGTGGTGCTGACCGGTGCCAGCTCCAACGCCATCACGGTGGGATGGGGATCTCCAGAGATCTCCAGGGGGCGCGGGTTCTACTCCCCTCCCCCTCTATCAGTGTTCGCTCAGGGGTGCGTGCCCAGAGCTGGCAGGGCACGTCGGCCTGGCCCTGCCCCTACCTGTGATGCTGATCTTGGCTGACCACTTGGAGGTGCCATCCAGCACGCTCTGCTTCACGGCCTTCATCTGCTGGGTGTGGGTGGCTTTCGAGACGGCGAAGATCTCTTGGATCAGCTCGAAGATCTCGGGCTTGTTCCGCTCCCGGATCTTCATGCGGTCCTTCAGCACCATGATGATGTTCTGGGTCCGGTCCTCCGCCCCGTGCTTGGAGCTCTTCTCGGCCGCTCCTGGGGGCGATTGAGAGGGGAGATTCTGGGACAGACTGCCTTTGGGGAGCACTCGCATGGGGTGGTCCCCTCCCAAGCATTCATTCCGTGCTGGCATTAAAGAGTTAACAGGGGTACGTAAGACCCCCCGCCACCCTCTGGCCCCCTGCATGGGGGTCTGTAAGACATCGAAGGCATGCAGAAGGCTTAGGATTTGTGCTCCTAAATCACTTAGGGTCTCTTGACAACCCCCCACAGAAGCCAAAGGAAGAGAGAGGCTGCGCCCCCTTACTCTGTAGGCAGTCTGCGTTCAGCAGGTCTTGGCACTTCTCATGGCACTTCACCCCACACTCCGTACAGCGCATGCCCTGCCGGGCGATGCCCCACAGCAGCCCCTCGCACTCGTAGCAGTACGTGGGGGTGGTGGCGGTCCACACCTCGAAGTTGTGGGGGGTCGTGGAGGAGATGGGGTAGATTAAGGCTTGAAGGGTCTTTTTGTAAACATGGTTTTTCTAAGCAAAGAAATGGGGTGGGAGGAGAAAGGAAAAAAAGTTGACACCATCCAGGATCTTGTCTGAGCGGGGCAGGGCTGCTCCCAGCCAGCGAAAGATTATAGACACAGTGGTCTCCATCCCTCCAGTACTGGGCATGCAGACCTTCCCCTGCCACTGACATGCGGGCAGCTCTGGGGTGGGACACAGCCGCTGCTTAACAGCGCGCAGCAACGGGATGGGCAATGAAGGACACCGGAGCAAGTGGACAGAATGCAATGACCTTCCTCGGGATTAGCCCAGTTCATACCCCAGCTGGGAAAGCTTTAACAGCCACAAGCAGGCTGGTTATTTTTTCCCCTCTGAGAGATGACACCTCTCACGTCACAGAGCCCCTGGTAACCACCCTGGTTCAGCGCTGACTCAGGAACAAGTAATCTCATCTGCCCCACTTCCCTGCGGCACCCGTCTCTTCCTTGGCAGGGTCCCGTCCCACGGATGACCCCTCCGACCCTGCTTTGCTTGTGCCGTCTGATAGGCTCGGTGTCTGGAGCCTGCGACAGCAGAGTCAGGGATGCCGAGCGGGAGCACTTACTAGCTCTTCGTTGTTTAAGGTGCTTGATGCTAGTGCTGACGTGATTCCGGCTTTCCTGGACTGGACCAGCGACTGTTGGAGTGAAACAGGATCAAACAGCTGTATCAGCGGGGAGGAGTCACAGCCAGCCCCGCCCCCCAGCCGGGGGGGCTTTTAAAAGCAAAGGTCTCAAGGCAAGATGCCCAGCTCCTCAGTGTGGTGGAAACCGCAGCATCTCCAGAACATCTCTAGGGACATACCCCAGCAGTGCTGGGTCCCTCCCGGGCCCGATGGCCAAAGGACTCAGCAGGCCAGTGGGACGCATTCAGACATGGTCCTGGGCGCTGCTGCAGCAGGGGGTGGATGAAATGACTAGCACGCCAAGGCCGCAAGCCCTTTAGGCGTATGGGCCAAAGCTTGGGCAGGGAAAGGTGGGTTCAGGATTAGTCACATGGTGGCTACCAAAGCAGGACAACCCTTCAAGCCCAGAGCCCTCATCCCTGACAACAGGCAAGCTCCTCAACGCCAGGTGTAAGACACCTGCCTCGCCCCCAGCTCAGGCGGCCCTCACATCATGTGGCCAGACAGGACCCAGTTCACCAGCCCGCGTTGGCCTCAATTTTCATCCCCATTCAAACAGTTTGGGGTGGTCTTGACTTGACCTCCAGATCCTCCCCGCTGCCCCCGGCTGGCCAGAATCTACAATTCTCTGCCGTGGGAGCTGCTCATGAGCCCGGCAGTTTACATTAAAGCCCCGAATATTTTCTGCAAGAAACAGGACAAGGGAAGAAACTCAGGGGCGAGAAACAATGCAGGACTTACCATAGCCTGCGAGGGAGCCCAGAGCCAGAGGGATGGAAAGCAAAAGACAGTTATATCAGCCCTTTCACACAGGGAAGTCAAGTCCTACTTCTTTCCTCTCTGCCATAGGGAGTCGATGGGGACATAGACGGCACCAACCGCTAACCCACTTCTGGACATTTCGCTGTTACTTTTCCCCACTCTCAGCCGGGAGCTGGAACTAGCTGCATTCTGTACCTCAGGTATGGCAGGGCCCCTTGGCCCCTCAGGTGGTTCAGGGTGGCTGAGCGTGGGCGTAACAAAGCGTAGGCATAGACCAGAGGAAGCAGGTTTAAGATTCAGGTATGGCCCTGAGCCAGTGATAGGGGTTGGCGGGGGGGAGGAGGGGGGGCTCTCTGCCACTGCTTTAGGGCAACAGCAGATTCTTCTCTCTGAGAAGAGAGGATGCATGCTCCCATCTGTATTCATCTGGGCACAGCCGCCGGGCAGGGCCAGCTTGCTTCCTGGGCGTGTAGCGCCTGATTTGAAGCTCAGTGGAGTCGGTGGGAATCTTTCTACGGGGTTGGGGTTTAAGGGGTCGCCCAAGGAAGGGAGCCTGACTGCTATAGAAATAAAGCTGTCCATGGTTGATGGGGATAAAATGCATCCCAGTGCAGCGAGTCACCAGGAGGCCACCTCCCTCCCCCCCCCCACAACCACAGGGCATCTTCCCCACTGTCCGTATCCCCCAATACATACTACAGCCCAGTGCAGACACCTTCCCTTCGCCACCCAACCCCAGATCGCTCCATCACCAACACAGAGAGACAAACACAACACTCAGCGCAGGGGCATCAGCAGCAGCTTGCCCTCCCGGGGCCAGGGGAGAGCAGCATGCGGGCGCCACGTGGACAAGGCAGCAAAGGAACAAGGCGAGGCAGCTTGGGTGGAGAGAAACACAAGGACAACAGAATCCCTGGGGCGGGGTGCAAAGCACAACCCCAACCAAAGGACTGAAGAGGGGGAGGGGAAGGCAAAGGGGGAGCCTAGGTGAGAAGGCAACAAGGGGTCCGGTTTCAAATTTTGTCCTTCTTTGTCACCAGCGAAAATAGCACCAAGCAGGCTGCGTGTTTCGGGTGGGTCTGCACTGAGGGGAGCTTGACTGGGGTTGGATGAGCCTTGCCACTGCAATACGCTGTGAATTACAGCAGTGCACGTAGCGGTATATAGTCTGTGAATTACGGGAGCGTGTTGGTTAGAGAAGTTAATTACAGGAATGCACTGGTTGTAAGGGTATATCCTGTTCTTTACCGGCGCGGGTGTGGTGTATATGGCTCACGCTAATGGCATGGAGAGTCTGAGTTCTGGGACTGTGCTCCATAAAGTGGAATATACTCTGTGAATTATGAGAGTGTCCTGAATGCAGCAGAATATGGAGAGACCTGCAGGAATGCGCTGGGTGGTGCTGTCTGTGTGCTGGGAATTAGGAGAATGCGCTGGATGCTGATGTCTATGCGCTGGGAATTATGGGAATGCGCTGGATGGTGCCATCTATGTGCTGGGAAGATTTCCACTGCCCTTGTGAAGGGATCTGGGAACAAAACTAGAAACCAAATGTTACCACAGAAGGACTCGGACTGATGCCCCGTATTGGACAAGGCCCTAGAACCTCTGTTAAAGAGACAGCACCCTTTGGACCAGTGACCTCCTCCGCACTCTCCGAGCAGGCTGGCTCATTTCCCAGGAGCCCGAGGGGCTGGGGGGCAGACCCCCATGGGCCAGCTCTGCGGAACTAACGGCCAACTTCCTTCAAGGGCAGCAAGTGACACTCCCAACAGGGGAGTCCCTGGGACTCCCAGAAATGTGGGGCTGGAAGGGGCCTGGAGAGGTCACCTGCGCTGAGGCAGGACCACGTGAACCTAGACCAGCCCTGAAAGGGGTTTCTCCAGCCTGGCTGTAGAAACCTCAGTGAGCCATAACGCCAGGTGAACAGGGAACAGAGGTAGGCCCAGGCCGGGACGCCTGACCCAACCCTGCTCCAGCTCAGCCCCATCTCCTCGCCAAGTCACTTCACTTCCTGGCTTTCCCTTTGCTGCTGATGTTCGAGCCGGTCAGGATTTCTCCTGCCTTCGCCATGTCTTGAGTCTCCCCCAGCAATTCGTGCGCACTCACTCAGACAGCGTCCAAGGGCAGAGTCTCCCGGACGCGGCCGAGGCGCCTTCGCCGGGCGGGATGCCCCTAGCTGCAGGCCCAGCTGCTGCGCAGCGGCTAATGTCTGAATGGAGTAGGGGTAAAATCCTGGGCTGACCGAGCTCCCCCGGGCTTTGCCGGGACCTGGGTTTCGCTCATCTTGGCGCACCCAAGAAGGGCTGCAGCGGGTCAGCATCGGGGGAGGTGAGCTCTTAAGCCCAGCAGCAGTTCAGTGGCTGCAATAGCTCCTGTACCAGCCTTGAAACCAGCTCTGCTCAGGCCTTGCCTCACCCTCGGTAACCCAGTCCTGACCCTCGGTTCCAGCCTCTGACCCCAGCTCTGATGCTGGGCTCCGATTCCTGGCTCCCGACTCCCCCTCTGCCCTAGCTCCTGCTCCAACTGCAAGGCATGCCCGCCACACCCCAGTTCTGTGCCCCTCCCTGCCCTGTGCTCCAGCTGCCCCTCTGGGGGAGCCTGCTGGGGCTCGGTGGAGGGTTTGGGCCGGGCGGGGGAGGGAAGGACCGGGCAGGTGATGCAAAGGGTGCTCTCTCTTTAACTCGGAAAACCACAAGCTCACCAGATCGCTGACTAGTGGGAGGGATTTGCGTCCAGGCTTAATATCAGGCATGCTGTCAATGCAACGCAGAAACTTTACCGCCGCTCCCCTGCGGTACAAACCAGCCAGCCAGCACCACAGGAAAGAGAACAGAAACACAGCCATGTTAAACGGAGCGAGCGAGGCAAACGAGGCGAAGAGCGCCTGAGCCGGATTAAAGGAGGAGGGGGCCACTGACGGGCAAGCGGGGAGGCTGAGAGAGGCCCCCTCCCCTGAGTGGCAGCCCCACCAGCCCTTTGGTTAACCCGGCTCGGGCCAGATCCGCGGCGCACTCCAGCGGGGGCAGAGCAGACAAGCCAGGGAAGCCAGCGGCGTTAGGAGGAGCCTCACCAAATCGCTAACTAGGGGGATTGGCTTTCTCTTTCGTATGTCGGGCATGCTGTCAATAATGATCAGACCGCCGCCAGGCCTGGAAGAGAGACAAGAGTCAGAGGGGGCGGGACAGGGAGACCGATGGAGACACCCACGCACACAGAGGCCTGTGCTCTGCCCAGCGCCCGGCAGCTGTTCCCGGGCTGCCTGCCAGCGGAGATGCTCCGTGGCTACCGTGGGCCCCTGCCCTACCTGCGTCCCCGCCCTGCAGGGGGGACAGCGGATGGGTCAATGTAGTGGTGGGTCCATTGGCCCCGGCTGGCCCACACCCTGCCCCAAGCCCCCTTCGAGCCACAGAGTTGAAGGCCAGAAGGGACCGCCCGATCAGCCCGACAGATTTCCTGTAGATCACAGCACCAGATCCCACCCAGCTGCCCCGGCATTCAGCCCATCTGTTGCGCCCATTCCTGCCCAGGCAAAGGGGAACGGAGCATGGTCTGAAACCATGCACAAGAGTCACCAGCCACTCCTGCGCATGTCCCCTCCTCGCCACAGAGACCCTGCAGTCGCACAGCCAGGGAGATACCACAGCTCAGCACAGCAGCAGTGAAAGGGCCGGGGGTGGGAAGTGGGGCTGGGCAGGGAGACCACAAACACTGGCTGGGGGCAGGGATGATCCCTCCCAGGGCCTCGCTCGGGGTTCGCTCACACCAGTGCGAATGGGGAGAGACTCGCCCTGAGAAAGGGGGTTTATTCAGAAGAACAAAAATGTGAATTTCAGTACGTTTCGGCCTTTTGTCAACGGTGGGTCCTGGAACTTTGCTCCCATGCTGGTTTCAATGGAAAATGCTGCGCACTGGGGCTGGCTTTGGGGTTTCTGAGTCAGGGGCAACATTTTGCCCCCACTGTGCACAGAAGCGAACAAGGAAGCGAGGTGCCCGGGAGCGGATGATCCAGCCCCCTCGGCTCCGTAGGGTACAATCTCCTTTACAGCTACAGCTGCTGTAACTAGTTTGTGCAGAAAGTTTTCCCACTAAAAACCTCCCAGGATTGTTGCAAGTGAAACGTTTAAGTGTCAATTCAGATGAAATCTTGGATCTTTCCCGCCCTAAATGTCAGAACGGGCGTTTTTGTCCCCAAGTGACACTCCGAAAAGCGGTGCTTTGGACTGACAGGGCTGCTTTGTTTTGGGGGTTTGAGTTTAAAGCCAGATAAAGCATTTCACGTTGTGACGCACCGTGCATTTTGCCTCACCCCGGCGTTTTGCTCGGGGTCGTCAGACTGTTTGCTGTGGCAAGGGAATGACTGGAAGGGGAAATGAAAAGGCTTGTTTTGGTTTGAAACGTCAGTTAGAAACTTGAAATCTCAGGGAAAAACCTGCTGGTTTTCTGACCCGCTCCAATAGGTACTTAGCCCAGGCTGGGAGTTCCGGAGACCCAGTGCCACCGCCTTGGGATGGGAGCCAGAGAGAACCCCAGAGCTGCCCACGTTCGGCAGCCTCAGTACAGAACACTCTTGCCATTCGTCACAGCTGAGCTGTGTGTCTTCTGAGGGACATGGCAGGTGGGGGCTTCTCTGACTAATTCTGGGTCTCTCCACACAGATCCAGGAGACCAGAGCTCCCTGGAAGCAGGTCCCACTATATCTGCCATGGGGGAAGTGTGGCTGATACATCTCCCTGCCTCTCGAGGGATGGCTGGCAGCTTGGCCTCATGCCCTCAGCCAGAGATGTCACTGCCTCTTCATCTCAGCCAGCCAGCCCCTAGGGGAACTCAGCCTCCTCTTCCCCTGGGAAGTCCGACAAGCAGGGCCCTTCCCGAGAGGTTTGGAAGACGGGACTGTGACATGCCGCGCGGGAAGGGGACCGAACGTGGCATGTCCAGAGAGCAAAGGGCATCACACACACATCGATGCTTGGCACATCCTGGGCACTTAGAGCACAGAAAGGGGGTGGGAACCTGCTGCAACCTGCAGCACAGGGGTCGGTGACAGCCGGACACACTTGCTCTTTTCTCTTCTTCCTCGGCTTGTTCTGCCCGATTCGTTCCAGTGGAGACGTGGAGCAGTTTGCTGGCTTGCATCCCTGGATGGGTGCTGCTGGTGCCTGGCAGATCTGCACCACCCTCCCGTTCCAGTAACTGACCTGTGCCCAGGGGAACGGCCTACGGAAAAGGCCCAACTCTGAAAAAAGGACCCACTGTGGCTGTCGTGGGCTGGGGAGATGCATCTCGTTCCATAGTGCTCCCCGCCCCACAGGGCCACTCCATAAGGCTCACGTATCCAAGGTGTCCCCCCGCCCCAGCCCCCAATGCCAGGGAACATCAGCATTCCTCCTGACAACAGGCTCAGGTTTCGCAGATGCCATGGGGCTGGAAGACAGAGAGATTTCAGGTTTGCCCGGTTACTCACCCGCCTTTAAACCACAGCGACTTCGCCTCGCCAGATCCTTCTCCCCGGGCCTGTAGGACAGACAGACAGAGTCAGCGGTGCCTCCTGGCCATGCAGGTAAACCTGGGGCGAGCCACAAGCAGTATATTTACTGGGGCTTCCCTGTGCTGAAGAACAAGTGCTTGGAGAACACACGAGGAGCGTTGAACAACAACACACAGCGCAGCAGACGGGGGGGGGGGGGGCTTGGGTGGGGGGGGGGGCAGGGAATAAAATATATTAGAGAGTCCGGAGATGAATGAGCAAACTAACAGCTGCATTTAACCAAGAGCTAAATTCAACTAGATGAGCAGAAGAAACAAAACGCCCAGCACTCTGGCCATGCAGCTTCTAGCAAGGAGCTCTGTTGCCGAGCAGCTTGACAAAGCTGATTAACCCGTTGCTGGTAACACAGAAACTACGGAGGCCATGTGCTGGGGAAATCCGGAAGCCAATGAATTGATCAGAAAAGTTTGACTGGTCTGTTCCATCCAGAACTCTTTTGGAAGATGTTGGACTGGCAGAGTATATGGGACGCTGAGTATATCTGGGATGGGCTGTTGCAGAGGGATGTTGGTAGAGACCAGACATCCATGGAGGACTTTGCTTTCCCAATTGATTTTTCACTTGCCAAGCCTGGGAAAAAATCTGGGGGTGCAGCAGAGCCTCGGGGAGAACGGGAGCAAACACCAGTGACGGCCCCTCAGTGTGGCACCCCGTCCTTCCCGCACACACACACATGCGCACACACACACACACACACAGCAGGATGGGCACACGCAGCACGGGTCCGGGTTCAAGCGAACATGCTTACCTGCATGCGGGCCACCGCCCTGCCCCGCGGGGAGGGGAGACGGGGCCACAAGGGCCAGAGTGGTGAACAACTGAAAAGAGAAGCAGCGGGGGGGGAAATCGATGCCCCAGGGGGGCGAATCCGGAACCAAAAGAAAAAGAAAAGATGGAGGATGGAGTCTAAAAACAGAACAAAAAATGGTCAACTCAATAAAAGCGACGGGGGGGGGGGGGGGGGGGAGGGGGCCACGTGGACAGATCAACGTCTACATGAACCAGACACAGCCGGGAGTGAGCTCTGCCGGGTCGCCTGCTGCAGCGCTCCGAACTCTACCCTTCTCCTGGGGAAGAAGTCCTGCTCGGGGGCTAGGGGAACGTCTACACAGCACCTGAGCTAGCCTGAATCCGGGTGAGCGCAGCTGGCAGCCGAAGACAGCACCACAGGGGCTTCAGCTTGGGTAACCCAAGCCCAGTGCGGACTCCGGGTCCACACTGGGCCCACTAGCCTGTGCGGTGCTGTCGTCACGTAGCCGTGCCCGCTGGATTCAGGCCAGTTCAGGGAGGCTGGCCCATGCCCACCTTGTGCTGTGTAGACGTAGCCTGAAGTGCCACTGACTTCACTGGGAACACGCAGCTCTTCAGGGCTTTGCTGGGCAGGTGCATGCGGTGACACAGGCAGGCTTGCTCGGCTCTGCCCAAAGCCCCCCTCCTGATTTCCCCCAGCTCCTCTACCCCCCAGCTTGGCCAACAGTCTCCAGCACTCCAGGGCCGTGCACTAGCCGCCCCGGGACTTGCTCTGCAGGTTCTCGTTAGATGAGGAAACCTCCTGCTCCTTTCCATGAAGGGTAGCTCGGCCAGTGCTGCCCGGCTGATGGCAAGGAGGCCCTGAGCCCATGATCTCTGGCAAGGGCAAACGGGAGAAGCTGGAGGGCTTTCACCCTCGGCTGGGACCCACCAGGCCCAGTGAGCCAGGGCTGCACAAGGCCATGCCTTTGCTAACCCCCTCCCCACGGCCCCGGGAGTCGGCTCCCGTCCGACGTCCGATTCCAACCCAGGGCTGCAATGGTGAGGGAAAGTTGTCAATCTGCCTTGTCTAAGTCCTCTTTGGATAGGCCCCTGCCAGCCCCCTGTCGGCTGGTGGGGGCAGGAGGGGCACACTCACCTCTTGCAGCTGCATGCAAACCTTGTTGAATGCTCTTAGCCAGTTGGCCTTGGCTCGGGTCTTGGCGTCCTGGACTTGCACCTCCTCCCGCTCTCTGTAACTGGACAGACAGATCAGGCATTTAGTGGGGCCTCACTCGGGGGGCGGAGGGGGTCAGACCCAGCCCGGGGGATGGCACCCAGCCAACGTACACAGACACCCATGTCTGCAACTTTCCCACAGAAACAGAGTGTTTGATGAAGGCAGTGTGTGTGTGTGTGTCTCCCCGTCTTGCTTTTTGTTTCAGCTGCTTAGCCAATGTTGCATGAACTATTTATTTCCAGCTCACCAGCGATGGGATCTTCAGCAAGCCTGGAATTCACCGGGAATTAGCTAAACATCTCTGCAAAGGCAAAATGCCCTTGTCTACCCATTTTTTGCTTTGCCCTCCAGGGCATGGCACTGCTGACACACACAGTCTATGGGAAGGCTGAGAGGTGGAGGTTGCTCACCTCCCTCTGGGCTGGTAAGGGAGAACAGAGTGGCATTTAACGGGATGTGGTATCCAGAATCAGACGTGATCCAAAATTAAGCTGTTAACACAAAAAAGCGAGCTGCAAAGGGAAGGGAAGTGACTTGGCTGCAAAGCTGGGAACAGAACCCAGGAGTCCTGACTCCCAGCCTCACGCTTGTTTGTGGGCCCCTGCCCTGGGGCATCGGCATGAAAGCAGCGATAGGAAAGCTCAGAAAGTTTGGAGGCTCAAGTTCAGATAAGCACCCAACCACCACGACTGCTCCTCTGAAAGGTCACTTGGCTTCTGCGCTAGCCAAGCCCCTTGGAGCTGCCAAGCCAGGCTGGAAATCTCCCTCCCAATATCACAGTTCTTGCAGCTTCTGCATGGGCTGGGCCTCAGACTGGAAACAGCTGGAGGCACAGTACTGCAGGACTTCTGCTTCTGGTCCCAGGATGTGCAGAACTGCACTGAAAATTCAGTGCCAATTCCTCCAGGAAAGGGCTGTCAAAGATTTCTGCCCAAACGCCATCCCATATCTCGAGTCATTTCATCCAGTCAAGTAAGTGAACAATGGCTCAGGAGGGTTGGAGTCTGCAGCCATCACTGCAAACACACAGACTGCTACCACTTGAGCTGGAGAAGTAACCGTCGGGGGTAAGTAGCAGTAGTAGGTTGTTATCTTCTATGTTGACCCCAACCCCCCCCCCACTGGCAGGAGACGTTGAGTGCAGAACACACACTTTACAAGCATGTTGCATGAGGCTTTACAAGAATCATCTGAGATTCCCCATCCCTTCTTAATTTGATATAGATATATAATTCCAAAGCTCACTGTGTGCTCTTTTAAATAAGAGCTTCGGTCTATAATTTAAACAAAGGAAGAAACCCAAGAAAGAAGTCCATGGCTGCGCCTTCTCCATTTTGGAGCGATTCTGCTCACCCAGCCATAGAAAAGTAGATCTGTTCAATATTAAAAGCAGAGACCAACATCTGTGAATTATTCACATCATTCCAGGGATGCAACCATCAAATTTCTTCATCTCTGCAACTCGGGAGGAGATGGATGGGCTTTTATCTGCAGCCTGGAAAGATAAACGCCCTCCAGGAAGTTTTCTTCCTGCTTTAATCCAACACCCAGGTAATAGACTGATGCCCCTCCAGAGCCCCCCTGGCTCTGATACAGTGAACACCAGAGCTACACCGCGGTTTACGTGACTCCAGTCAGTGAATTAAATCCGACACTGGTTGAAAACCGCAGTACGGCACGAAGGCTGTACTCATGCAGCCAGCAAAGCAGCTGCTGTGGGCTCTTCGGAAAGGGTGAGGGGTTTAAAGTGAAAACTTTTAAAGGTTTAAAAAAAATTTAAGAGGCCAAAAATTGTCTGAAAGTTAGTTCCTCCATCCAGAGTTGGGAACCTGAACAAAAGGGGCCTGATTTTCCAGAGGGGCTGGGCCCCCCAACATTTGGGCCTTCCCCCTCCCACCGGAGGGACCTTCATATGGGGGCAAATTGGACCCTTTCCATTTTACCCCGCCTTGTGGAAATGCCGGCCGGCCCATCAGCGCCTCCCTGCTGGCTCAGGAACGGCTAGACCAGGGTGATGTGAGGAACACTTGTGCCTTAAATGAAATGAGACACCGAGCTTCTTTCCACCTGACTCTGATGGGGGTTAAAGATCCCATGATGACACATCAAGAGAATACAGCTGAGCCCCGGCGTCGTGGTCAGCGCTCCCCTCCCAGCAGGGCCGGCTCTAGCGTTTTTGCTGCCCCAAGCAGAAAAACAAAAAAGACAAACAAAAAAAAGGCTGCGATCGCAAGCGGCGGCAGCTCTAGCGCCGCTTCATTCTACGGCAGCAATTCAGCGGCAGGTCCTTTGCTCCGAGAGGGAGTGATGGCCCCGCCGCCGAACGGCTGGACGTGCCGCCCCCCTCTTCATTGGCCGCCCTAGGCACCTGCTTGCTAGGCTGGTGCCTGGAGCCGGCCCTGCCTCCCAGCATGGCTGGCTGCAAGCGCACATGTAGGCGCTACTGTTGAGCGTAGGCTGCATCTTCTGCTTGTGTGAATTTTTCATATTGTTTTGTATGAATGGTGTGTGTGCCTCAGTTTCCCCTAGGTGGTGCATGTTGACTGGGGTGAGAGGGAAGGGTTGTTTACTCTTTGCAGAGACCCAGAGATACAGGCGTGACCAATGCCTAGCTGCCTGGGGGCCATGGACAGTCCAGAAGACAATGGCCACTCCAGTTGCCTGGGCTCTTAGGAAGCCAGTGGGGTGGGAGCAGCTGGAGGACAAAGGACTGGAGAGGGGCCAGGTGGGGTAGGTAAGTGTGGGCTGCTGGAAGCCGCGAGAAGGGCTCAGAGGGTCTGGACTGACCCCGATGGACTTTGCTGTAACTTTCCGTTTTCTGTGGTAACGAAGGACTTTCTACGCTGTGATCCAGACGTCTGATAAACCCTCCGGCTGCTACAGGGGCAGGAAGTTGGGGTGCACTGCTCCCTTTCGGGGTGCAAGTCTTCCCCAGGTGTCCAAGCCAGGCGGACTCGCTGAGGGGAGCGCCCGGCGTGACCCAGGGGGGCTGAAGGCTCGGAGGTTCGGTCCCAGGAGCAGTGAAGCCGAGGGGCTGACCCCAGTGGGTGTGTGACCCTGAGGGGGCTGACCCGCTGAAGGGCTCCTCCCAGGGACTGTTGCAGAGCTGCCTGAGAGCACCAGATCTGTGGACCAGGGACAGCTTGGCAGGCCCGTCACTGCTTGCAGCTCACTGTTAGCGTGCCAAAGGTGCCAGTGCGGACCCAGGCTCAGCACCCGGTTCCGGGGGCTTCCCGTTTGCTAAGGCTGCCACTGCACCAGGCTTTTCCTCCCAAGCCTTTCCCCTGGGTGCTGGCACCAGGGGGTGGGGCAGGGCTCCCGGGGCAGGCAGCATGTCTGGCCCTGCTCAGAGAAGGTCTGGGTGCCCCGGTGGTAAAGCCATCGCCAGCTTGGGATCGAGGCACCACAGCCACTTCAGGCTCCTGGGGACCAGGTGCAGGGGCTTGCTCCAGCTGCCGCTGGCATGAAGGGAAAGGCTCCACGGGCACCAATGAGAGCAGGACGGGGCCCTAAGGCTGGTTCAGAACGTCAGCCCAGGGCCCCTCCTCCACGCCTACGGCCCAGTCGCCGTGCGGCAGTGGGGTACCCAGCAAGCAGCCGGGCACAGGGCACATTCATGGCAGCCACATGCTCCCCCCGTGGCTTGTGTAGCAGTGGGCCACAATGTCTACGGAGCTCATGTCCCCACTAGCGTGCCGGGCCCACGGGTTGCTAGCGTGAGCTCCCCACGGGTC